AGGATTTTCATGCATTAGTATTTGACAGATCACGTGGGATTTCAGACATGGTGTCAAAGAGAAAGATGCTCAGTATGCTTTGACATTTCATCATGAATAGACTTACTAATAAGCAACGCTTGCAAATCATTGAATTTTATTACCAAAATCAGTGTTCGGTTCGAAATGTGTTTCGCGCTTTACGTCCGATTTATGGTCTACATAATCGACCAAGTGAGCAAACAATTAATGCGATTGTGACCAAGTTTCGCACTCAGTTTACTTTATTGGACATTAAACCAACCACACGAATGCGTACAGTGCGTACAGAAGAGAATATTGCGTCTGTTTCTGAGAGTGTTGCTGAAGACCGTGAAATGTCGATTCGTCGCCGTTCGCAGCAATTGGGTTTGTGTTATTCGACCACATGGAAGATTTTACGCAAAGATCTTGGTGTAAAACCGTATAAAATACAGCTCGTGCAAGAACTGAAGCCGAACGATCTGCCACAACGTCGAATTTTCAGTGAATGGGCCCTAGAAAAGTTGGCAGAAAATCCGCTTTTTTATCGACAAATTTTGTTCAGCGATGAGGCTCATTTCTGGTTGAATGGCTACGTAAATAAGCAAAATTGCCGCATTTGGAGTGAAGAGCAACCAGAAGCCGTTCAAGAACTGCCCATGCATCCCGAAAAATGCACTGTATGGTGTGGTTTGTACGCTGGTGGAATCATTGGACCGTATTTTTTCAAAGATGCTGTTGGACGCAACGTTACGGTGAATGGCGATCGCTATCGTTCGATGCTAACAAACTTTTTGTTGTCAAAAATGGAAGAACTGAACTTGGTTGACATGTGGTTTCAACAAGATGGCGCTACATGCCACACAGCTCGCGATTCTATGGCCATTTTGAGGGAAAACTTCGGAGAACAATTCATCTCAAGAAATGGACCGGTAAGTTGGCCACCAAGATCATGCGATTTGACGCCTTTAGACTATTTTTTGTGGGGCTACGTCCAGTCTAAAGTCTACAGAAATAAGCCAGCAACTATTCCAGCTTTGGAAGACAACATTTCCGAAGAAATTCGGGCTATTCCGGCCGAAATGCTCGAAAAAGTTGCCCAAAATTGGACTTTCCGAATGGACCACCTAAGACGCAGCCGCGGTCAACATTTAAATGAAATTATCTTCAAAAAGTTGTCATGGACCAATCTAACGTTTCAAATAAAGAACCGATGAGATTTTGCAAATTTTATGCGTTTTTTTTTTTTTAAAAAAAGTTATCAAGCTCTTAACAAATCACTCTTTACAAATTTCAGCAAATTTTAATGGGGATTTTTCCCAAACAAACTCAAAACCACCAAACAAGTTAAACAAAAAAAATCTTCAAAATACTGCAATTTAGAGGGCAAAGTTGTACATACGTAAAGCATGACCATTCTATGAGGGACTGTGTAACCTGATATTTTAGTTTTGTACCTCAATACTTTCCTTCAAAATAAATATTAAAAATGCCAAAATTCGGGATGATAGACCTAAATGCGAAACGATATATTTCATTCTCGCCAGGTTCAAGTTTTTTTATCTCGATATCAATCGAAGATAGAATGATTACAAAAGATGGCTAAATCATGAATTTCATACATTGTTGGGTATAAACTTACAATTTCGAGTAAGGTATTTCCCCCATACCACGGTGGAACATGCCTTTATGGTGTTGTATTGTGAGGCTAATACTAAAAATTTTTTGGTAGTGAGATTTATTATCAAATACGAATACAAAATACCAAATTACAGTTTTAAATACCGAACATGTAACAAAATTGATGACATCTTGATGGAAGATTTGGTACCTAATTAGTACCCAACATACTAAATTACAGTCAATTTGAGTGAAAAACTAGTCCAAAATCCTCAAGAACCGCCTATTTTGGAGATTCATAGATACCAAACAAAAAAAAATGGACCGATATTGATCATTTGTATACCCATCACCACATAGAATCACTTTATGAGTCGATTAATGCATGTCCGTCTGTCTGTCTATCTGTCTGTTCATGTTAAATTGTAGACAAAGTACAGGTCACATTTATGATATGAATCCGACGAACCCCACTAAAATTGGGAAGGTTTAATCGGTTCAGATTTAGATATACATCCAAAAAAAATTTTGTCTGATTTAATGTAAATGGTGCACTCAAGTCCCTATATACCTTTCTAATTGCACGAAATTTGTCACAGCGTATTGAATTAGGGATGGCATGGTGTGTGGTAAGTTTGAGGAAAATCTGTTTAGATTTAGATATAACTCCTATATATTTTTTATCCGATTTTATGTTAATGGAGCATCTATGCCCCTATATTTCTTTCGATTTGCACTAAACCTGAACCTTTTAGGTTATATAGCCCACCTTCGAGCTTGACCTGCCTGCAGACAAAAGACAACTCTATGCCATTCCTATTCAATTCCTTTGGAAGATTATAGCAATGATTACACAGCACACGGACAAAATTGTTTAGACCGTCCTACTTAATAGGGCCAAAAATTAGCATTTCGATGAGTTACAAACGGAATTACAAAATGAATAAACCTTCCATAATACGGTGCAGTCAAAACTTGTTCAAAAAATATTATTTTCAGCTGGTCCGATCTCTTTATATTCTCCACTGTGTTGTGCTTTCAAAATTTTTTAGAAAGGTCGGGACCTTTATACGGAGACTATGTCATTGTAAGTTGCAGCCACTCAAAGTGAAAAAAACTGGGTCTCTTTCTCCACTATGTTTTGCATTCACAATTTCGTAAAAAAGTCGGGACCTTCATAGAGAAACTATGTCATTGTAAGTTGCAGCCATTTAAGGTGAAAAAATGGGTCTGGGAAAGAATATTATATTCTTTGGGAATCTTGATTGTTAATTTACAGCTACTTCGTTGGGAAGTGGTTAAAATCCTAAAAATACTTCAAAATAGGAAACTTACATCGACAATTGTCATTCAAATATCATTACCACCCTACAAAAAACCGTATGGCCAAATTACAGCAATTTCATGGAAAAAATCGACAAAAACTTTAAAAATAAACAACAATGCTTTGGAGGCCTATATATGTAGTTTAAGTCAAAACATACAACTATCACGTCAGTGGAATAATGTGTCTAAAAACACCAAAGCTCAAGCTCCAAACCTCATCCCTAAAAATACCGAGAATGGTTAGGGACCTATATATAAAAGCTATTCCTAAACATGGCTCAATATTGATAATTTTCTATATATGTCTATTCAGTCTGCCAAAACCCGCAATACTAAAATAACCTCTTTGGACAAAACCCCTTAAGTACAAATGGGTAGAGACTAATTTGTAAATCTATTCAATATCAGCCCGTTCGGTAGGAAATGCAACAAAAACTTGGTCAAAAATATAGTCAAAGGAAATGTAAGGCATAAGTAAAAATAATCAATGAAATATTTGACCTATGTCGAATTTGTCCTTCTATTTGATAACACACATACGTACCAATAATTATTAATATTGACCCAAGTTTCTGGGTATCCCCATAAAACACTTTTCGCCAGTACTCGGTATTTGGGGATTTTGGAGAGGTATTCGAACCGAATTGGCTGTAATTTGGTATTTTGGACTCAGCTTATTTGGGTTTGGGTTCTCATTGTATAACACCATATCCGTACCAAAAATGACGTACCAAGTATCAGTGACGTACCCATATAACGGTACCCCCCGTTTCTTACGTTTTGGACACGTTTTTCCATCGAATTGGCTGTAATTCAGTATTTTGGGTTGTCATTGAGTATCACATATCCGTACCAAAAATAATTAATATTGACCCAACTACTGGACATGAGCATCAACTAAACCTTTAAAATGCCCGACAGCGGAGCCTATAATAATATTAACTTCGCGTCACAATCTATGACCATTTTCTTCAAACCGTTTACTAATCGGACATTTTGTACCAAAAAAAAAAAATCCATTTTCTTGACATACAATTTCATCCTGTTTGAATATCTTAATTTCGATAACATTTGATACAATTAATATTAAATAAAATTTGTGTATTTTTATTAAAAAAGTAATTATACTCTTTTTCCATCGCAACCATTCTTTTGCAAACAAATTAAACTCATTGTCAGATCATTCACGTCATTAAGTTTTCATATCGTTCGCAAACAATGATTTTCATTAACATTGCCGGCTACAATTTTTTAACAATTTCCTTGTACAATTGCCCCCCGCATTTATGGTGTATTAAAAGTTAATATTGCAATTTACAGTGGAACCCAGTATGAAAACGCTTAAAAACATATTTATAATTTCGAAATTATATTTTGTATGAATACATACAAATTTGGTTGCACTGTTGATCCAATAAATCTGAAAAACTTATCAAAAAAGGCATACACGAAAACATAACAGTTTCAATAATTAATATCACTGGCAAATGTTTAACACAATCTCAGAAAAATCAGTGACCGACCTACCAGCCAACCAACCACCCAACACCCCAACTCATTCTCAATGCGTTCCTCTCAACGTTGATGGACAATATACAGGCAGTTAGCTAGTGATGGATTTTTTTAAGTGAAAATGGAGCCTCATTTCATCTGCTGTTGGTCGATCCATCCATCCATCGTTGGGTTCACGTACACTACATTTATTTGTCGTTATTTTTTGGTTTTTCTTTATTTTCTTGTTTTGTTTTTTTCTGTTTTTGTGAAATGCTCAGTTTTTCGTTTATTGTTTTGTTGCTTTAGTGGTAGTAATAGCTGCTGATGTAGCCCCGTTGGTTGTTCTTGTTTCTTTCAAAAAAAAATATTCTTCAGTCAAGTCCTTTATTTTCTTTTCATCAATCCATGCCATCTCTTGTCAAATATTTATCCCTTAGCATTTTTCGTTTTTTTCACTCCCATTTTAATTCCACTTCTTTGCCTTTAATAGCCCACATACCCTATGCCAGTACCCATACCATATTCAGAATTTAACTGCCCTCATCAGTGATGTTGTTGTTGTGTTGATGCTGTTGTCGTCGTCCTCACGCTTTTGTTGTGGTAAACAACCATCGTTGGGTCTCCAATGCCGAATTGCATCGCTGGGCCGAGATACCGACCTGTGTGTGATCCCTCGAATCCAGGCAGACATTCAATTTGTGATGCCGTATAAAACCGCCTTCACGCAGCACCCATTTTTGATTTTCCGAATCGTCGCATAGTTTCATGATGACCTGTGAGCCGCGTGAGAATTGCACCAGTGTTAAGCAGAGATCATCGTGTTTTATTTGTTGGCGTTTGGTGTAGGCCCACTCCTGATTGCCGCCAGTATTGTGGCACTGGAAGAGACCTGCAAATAAATGAAAGGTAAACAATGAAAAAAACAGGCGAAAAGAAAAACAACGTTGACGTTAAAATGCGAAATACATGTGTGTGTGTATGTGGGAGTGGGGGTGGTGAATTAAAATAAGAAATCACTTTTATCGTTTCGTTGTTGTTGTTTTTTTGTGTTTTCTTAATTTGTTTTAAAGCTTTTTTTGTCAAGCATATGAATATGTCAATTAACTGTGTGAGAAAAATCATAACGTTTTATTTTATTGACATCCTTTATGGAAGTCAAAATTGAAAGTTTTAAAGAATGTGATGAATAAAATAATTGGAACTGAAAACGGTTCCAATTAGTGACTTGAAATTTTAGTGACTCATATATAAAAGGTCCTAGGAAATTTTCGTATTTTGACGGTTTCAGTCGCATTTTCCAATCGAAGTGAATAAATTGTTAATTGGAAAATATATTTGGAAATTATTCTAAGATATGTCCATGCTCCCTATAAAGCTTCGCCCCCTTTTCGGTATTTTGACGGTTTCAGTCACATTTTCCTACAAAAGTGGATACATTTTTTCCAACTTTATAAATACGAACCCTCCAATTTTATTATTCTAAAGGTTTCAACCTCGATTTGGCAGCAATTTGACATTCCCAAAGAAGGACGAACTTATTAGCAGACAATTTACAACAGCATAACTTCCATATAAATATCATAAGTATACAGAGATATTTTTAAAAATCGATTAATCCAAACTTTGCACATTGTGTAATTTTAGAGTAAAGGGTAAAATTGCTTCAGAAATAATTTTCCTAGGTCTGCTATTTTAATTTTGGCATTCGGATGTTCCAGTGATCAGAAATCAAGCACGTCGAAGAAACGAAGGAATTTTTTAATTAAAACCAGTAAGGAAAGCAGTAAAGTCGGACTGGGCCGACTATATGATACCCTTCACCACTTTGCTTTTATTTTACATATGTATCCTTTGGTTTCATTTTACATATGTATCCTAACAGACGACGCGTTTTGTTATAAATCTATATCTGAACCGATTCAGGAAAACTTGCCAGAGACTAATTTATATAACATCCGTACGTTGTGTCAATCGGACTAGCTATGGATCTTTTCACGAAGCTTAGCAACATCATTCTAGACTTAATTCAGTACCCTATACCAAAATACGTGCAAATCGAAATATATATAAGGTCTTTGGTGCACCAATGACCTTAAATCGGATGAAAATACATATGGGAGCTATATCTAAACCTGTACCGATTTTCACGAAACTTGGCAGACATAATTTTCGATCTTATTCATAACTCTGTGCCAAATTTCGTGCACATCAAAAGATTTCCAGGGACTTTAGTGAGCTATTTACCTAAAATCGGGCGAAGCTATATATGGGAGCTATATCTAAATCTGAACCGATTTTCACGAAACTTTGCACACATCATTCTATACTTAATTTAGTACGCTGTGGCAAATTGTTCGTGCAAATCGAAAGATATATAGGGACTTTGGTACACAATTAACCTTAAATCGGACGAAGATATATATGGAAGCTATATCTAAATCTGAACCGATTTTCACTAAACTTAGCAAATACATTCTAGACCTTATTCATTACGCTGTGCCAAATTTCGTGAAATCGAAAGAAGTATAGGGACTTTGGTGCACCATTTACCTTAAATCGGACGAAAATATATATGGGAGCTATATCTAAATCTGAACCGATTTTTTCCCAATTTCAATAGGGTTCGTCCTTGGGCCAAATAAATGAGCTGTGCCAAATTTCATCCAATTCGGATCATAAATGCGACCTGTACTTTGTTTACAATTTAACATGGACAGACAGACGGACGAACGGACATGTAAAAATCGAGTGATTCTATGCATATTCTCAAAAGGAACCATGGGTCTATCTCGATTATATTTGCCTGTTAGAAACATATGCACAAAGACATAATACCCTGTACCACAGTGTGGTGAAGGGTATAACAAATATTTTCTAATTAATGCAAGCTTTTAGAGTCCTTGGAAAAATATTTTCATATTAATTCGGACCTTCATACACCTTGAACAAAATAATTTTCTAATTAGTGTATGCCTTCAGAGTCCATGAAACCTTATCAAGGCCTCCAGAATGATTTAAACATTTCTAACTAATTTTAATTAAACCGAACCTTCTAAATCCTTAAAGAAAAAAAATTCTAATAAATCAAGGTTTTCCGAGTTTTTATACCATACACAACTTTGTTGCTTTTTTGTAGCTTTGTGCAGCCCCAATGGCATGTAACGCCGTATTTATTCATGAAGGACTTATACCCGAGAAGTTGATATTATATCCAAGAGGAACTGTTGACCTTTAAATCGATACCAATTTATTGTTGTATGTAATCGGATGTTGAAACTATACATAAATACCCGCTCATTGAAAAATATTTTTTAATCAGGTCTTCAGAATTCTAAAAAAACTATATCGAATTGATCCAGGCATTCAGAATCCGCGGACGGATAGACGGACATGCATAAATCGACTCAGAAAGTGATTCTATGCATATTATCTAAAGAAAAATTGTGTCTATCTCGTTTCCTTTTGCCTGTTACAAGCATATGCACAAAGACATAATACCCTGTAGCACAATGTGGTGAAGGGTATAAAAATTCAAGGATTCTGTGGACTTGTATTAAGAAGAAAATATTTTGATCGGAAAGCCTGCATAGAATACAAAATATATTTCAGTACGCTGTGCCAAATTTCGTTAACATCGAAAGATATATAGGGACTTTGGTACACCATTTACCTTAAATCGGAGGAAAATATATATGGGAGCTATATCTAAACCTGGACCTATTTTCAGGAAACTTAACACACATCATTCTAGACCTAATGCAGTACGCTATGCCAAATTTGGTGCAAATCGAAAGATATATAGGGATTTTGGTACATCATCCGATTTAAGGTAATTGGTGTGCCAAAATATTATGAAGCACATTTGCATTTCCACGAAATTAGTATTGAGCTATTATTATTGCACCACATCGTAGTTGTTATTTTGAGATATTTTAGGCGAAAATTGGTAGCATATCATTCCTTTAATCCTTCATTTGTCGTACCTAATTTATTGTGCTCCGTACAAAAATACTCACCTTCTCACCTTTATAAGGTTTGTCAGACGTCCGTATTACCCAAATACGCAAGGACTTTATTTGCATCTGTGCCAATTAAAAACGGCGAAAATGGACGAAAATATTTTTTTAATTGATCAAAAAAGTTTCCATTTATAGAAAAACAATTTTTTCAATGACTAGAATTCTATTTTCAAAAAACAAAAATTTGAAAATACGCAGAGTTGAAAATTTTCAACTTTATATTTTTATACGCAATGCGTATTTGGGTAACATTCATTAAAATACATGTATTTAACTTTTGAGGTGAATAAATTCGTACGCATACGTATGAATTTAGGTACGACCCTGAAAATTTTGAAAATATTTTTTTTTCAATTGGACTGACATTGTATTGAAAATATTTGAGGTGAGAATACAAAAAATAATTCAGAAGTATATCATTGAATGTACACACGATCATTGTATGCACACGTTTCCCAAAGAATTCACAATTTTTTTGGGGCAAATGCAAGAATGGAAAATCAGAAGACATTCGAAATCGAGGTTGAGTCCATTCAGAGAATTCTAATTGTAACATGCATGGGAAGAAGTTTTGTCTATTACACTAATCCGTTATACCAAATGTGAACTTTTGGTATGAAGATTTGACACCACATGATAAAATGCCGAACAAAGGGGAATATCATATATGGGGGCTATCTGGAAACTTGCACCAATATTGATTTTTGCTAAGGAGATTTACAGCCGATTTTATTGAAATATGTGACTAAACTCTCCAAAATACCAAATATTGCGGGTACCGTTGCGCATCATAATTCTAGACTCAATTTAGCGCATCATAATTCTAGACTCAATTCAGTACGCTATGAGTTTATTTAAATTTATTGTGCGTGTGCTATAGCTTCCAATATAACTATCAAAATCGGTATATGGCGAAATTTATTAAAAATTTATCTATTCCCACAATTTTCATGAACATCTCTTACCCAGAAAAATTGTTTATGCAAGTATGAATAAAAAAGCAAACAAGAAAAACAAATCTGAAATACAGAAAATTATTTCTAAACAATATTGTTAAGGCAAGACAACGTTTGCGGGCCCGCTAGTATATATATATAATACCTACACTTCAAAATTGTTCTGTAGATTTCTATACTTGAAAGATTTTAGCATAAGTTGACTATGCTTCGGTGGATTTTCATGTAATCATTGGAACCAATGGTTGACGAACAGTCCTCAGTCAATTTCATTAGACAATTGAGTGAAAAGTCTAATACTGCCTATAAGATATTCGATGCAATCCTTCTCGACAGAATTTCCGATTTTCTGTAGAGACGACGACTGAGAAAGGGTAAATTTACCTCTGACCAGAATGTCAATGTACCCACGACGACGGCTCATGACCTAATCTTTAAATCCTTTTCAATTCCACTGATATCAAAAAAAGTATGTGTCGTTTTCAATGGAACTTGCCATTTCAACACATTATATTTCATATAAAAAAAGGATATGAAAACAATAATAAACCTTTATCTTTAAAAACAATCCTATTTGAACTTCAACAATGCCATAAAACATTAAACTCACCGTTCTTGTATTTTGGTTTTTCATTTCATTTTGTTTTGCTTTGTTTACTTACCAACTGTGCCATCCGCCAAATTTCCCATGGTATCCAAACAGAAATCACCTTGGCGAAATTGGCCAAATTCATATGAATCAGGAACTTGTAAATCAGGATAAACATTTTCTAAGTACCATTTGAATGGTTTACAGTGCAATTTTTCCTTGAGAGCCAAACGGTCGTCGATGCTGTGGTTCATACGGCGGATGAAAATAAGAAAGAGAAGGAAAAAAATTGAGAAAAATGCATTAATACAACTATGAAGTAGAACTTATGGGGAAAATACACACACAGACACAAAATGACTAGTGAATGGGAAAGAGAATTAATCAACTTAATAGGATAAGGCAGACGTAGTTGAACGAATGTTCGATAAAAGTGAAATTAAATTGCAAACAAATTGTCCCACGGCGATGGGTGTACAATCAATGGAAGTAAATTTTTGAAATGATTTCGATTTTTACAGCGAATGCAAGTTAATGTAAAACCTCAGAATTTTTGTTTTCGTATTTTCCCTCACGAATTCTGAAAACGCTTGAATAAAAAATCCGAATTTATATTGTATACCAAAATCTATATGTGGAAATATTATCGTTCCTCCTCTCAAGTTAATTTATGAATGTATTGGCATTTGTAGTAAATAAAAACGGAAATTGAAGCCTAATATCAACTAGTAAAGACGTTGGTTCATTTTAATACCCTCCGCGCTGATGTGTATATATTTGAAATTCTGAAAATCGGTTAGGGCCTCAAACCATAGACCTTCAATGAAAATGTTCTGTCGGCTGGTATTTCTGGGAATCACAAAAGCCTTCGTTCGGTGAGAAAATATTCGCGTCCATTTAATACAACTAAAATCGATCGAAACTTTTATATGGGGACTGTAACATGGTAAATTATTGCCAGGAAAAAATAAATACGAAACAAACACTCAGCTTGGAAAATTGGGATATGATCTTGAACATACCAAAAACGCCGAAAATTAGGTATACCATTGTAACGTAAGAAGAGTTGCCACCCAATGCGAAACAAAAACCAGTAAGGAAAGTAGTAAAGTCGGACGGGGCCGACTATATCATACCCTTCACCACTATGGGTATATTAAACAGGACTATTAATATGAAATTGGATGAAATAATATATGTGATATTTATCTAAATGTGAAACTACCTAGATCTATCCATAAAGTATGTAAATCGACTTCAAACAAATATATGTAGGCCATCCGTTGGGCTATAGCTGCACTTCTAGAAAACGCTACTACGTAATTCTCTGCTCATTTTTGTACGTTGTGCAAAATTTGATGTCAATCTGACTAACATGGGGAGTTTGATGCCCAATTTACTAAAAATCGGGCGAAAATACATATGGAAGCTCTATCCAAATATTAAGCGATTTCAAACAAACTTGTCACAGGTTAGGATATACTAATTTCACAACGTTTTTTTCCTATGAGTCTATTGGTTCCTTGGTGCGTCAATTACTTAAAATCAATCTAATATAAAAGGGAGCTATATCTAAATCTGGACCGATTTTCACGAAACAAGGCAGACATCACTCTAAGCTCAATTCAGTACGTTATACCAAATTTCGTGGAAATCGAAAGATATATAGGGACTTTGGTACACCATTTACATTAAATCGGACGAAAATATATATGGGAGCTATATAGAAATCTGGACCGATTTTCTCGAAACTTTGCAGACATCACTCTAGGCTCAAATCAGTACGTTATCCCAAATTTCGTGCAAATCGAAGGATATATAGGGACTTCGGTGCTCCATTTACATGAAATCGGACGAAACTATATATGGGAGGTATATATAAATCTTGACCGATTTGCACGAAACTTGGCAGACATTATTCTAGACTCAATTCAGTACGTTATGCCAAATTTAGTGCAAATCGCAAGATATATGTGGGCTTTTGCGCACCATTTACATGAAATCGAACGAAACTATATATGGGAGCTATATCTAAATCTGGACCGATTTTCGCGAAACTTGGCAGACATCATTCTAGACCTAAATGATTAGACTGTACCAAATTTCGTGCAAATCGAAAGATATATAGGGACCGTTTACATTAAATCGGTTAAATATATATATGGGAGCTCTATCTAAATCTGAACCGATTTTTCCCAATTTCAATAGGGTTCGTCCTTGGGCCGAATAAGTGACCTATGCCAAATTTCATCCAATTCGGATCATAAATGCGACTTGCGACTAAATTCACCACAGTGTGGTGAAGGCTATAAATATCAACTTAGAAAAACTTGACCAAAATACTGAGTAATGGGGAATGTCAATAAATGGGGGCTACCTTGGAATTTGAATCCATATATATATCATTTTTGTATCGTGCCCAAACCACCGAAGTTTGGAAGCTTCCGCTTATGGGGGCTAACTAAAAAGCGAACCAATATTTATAACTTTTGGTAGGAAGATTTTCAACCTAATGTCAAAACACATAAATAAAGGTCAGCACCTATATTTGGGAGCTATGTCATGGGGGGACTTCTATAGAGTCCCTATATTTGGGAGCTATGTCAGGGGGGACTTCTATAGAGAAGCTGTATGAAAACATTGACCTTCATTGAAAATGAGGCGGAATGCCAAAATATATTCCTTATGATAACGATATATAACTATGTAACACAAAATGGAATTGGAGGTATGTGGGGTCGAAAACATTTGTCGACTATATTGAGAACCAAAATGTTAAAACTTGACACTCGTTATAGTAACTTCAGTACGAAAATTTTATAAAAACATAAAACATAATATCGAACGAATCTATATATGGAAGCTATATGTAAATCGGAAACGATTTTCCCAATTTCAATAGGGGTCCTTGAGTCAAGTAAATGAGCTGTGCCAATTTTCGACCTGTACTTTGTATAGAATGTAATGTAGACGGACGGATATGCATAAATCGACTTAGAAAGTGATTCTATGCATATTCTCAATAGGAACCATGAGTCTATCTCGTTTTATTTTGTCTGTTACGAACATATGCACAAAGACATAATACCCTGTACCACAGTGTGGTAAAGGGTTAAAACAGTGTCAGTTAGTGTTGCCGACAGATATTAGGTTGGGGAAGAAGAAATCTATTAGGAAAATGTCGATAAAACCGGAGAAATTATCGAAGTTGGCCGGCATGTTAGCAGTCGTAACATCGCTCAGGAGCTAAAAATCTACCATAAAACTGTTTTAAACCATTTACACAAATTATCGAAGTTGGCCGGCATGGTAGCAGTCGCAACATCGCTCAGGAGCTAAAAATCTACCATAAAACTGTTTTAAACCATTTACACAAAGCTGGATTCAAAAAGAAGTTCGATGTTTGGGTGTCACACCAATTAAAAGAACAAAATAGAATAGATCGAAGCCTTGGCCAAATGGTGACTGGAGATGAGAAGTGGATCACGATAATCCTATGCGAAAACGATACTGGTCAAATAGCTGTGGCCAAACCAGGACTAACGGCCAGGAAGGTTCTGCTATGCATTTGGTGGAACTGGAAGGTAATTACTTATTATGAGTTGCTTCCAAACGCTAAATTCTGATCTCTACTGTCAACAACTGGGCCGTTTGAAGATATCAATTGATCAGAAACGGCCAGAATTGGTCAACAGGAGAGGCGTCGCGTTCCACCAAAACAACGCTATGCCACACACATCTACCAATAACTCACCAGAAACTTTGGGAGATTTGTTGGGAGGTTGTAATGCATCCAACATACAGTCCGGACTTGGCACCAAACGATTGCCATCTTTTTCTTCCATTGCAAAATGTCTTTAATGATAAAAAAATTGGTATCTAGGGTTGATTGTGAACATCAACTACTAGAGTTTTTCGCAAATAAAGAGCAGGACTTCTATGAAAAAGGCATTTTGAAGTTGCCTTTGAAATGACAACAAATCATACAACAAAACGGTGCATATTTGGCCCAAATCGTACATTCTGAAGAAATAAAGTCCTGTAGTTCTTATAAAAATAATGGATTTCTTTTTCCCCAACATATTATATACCCTAAGCATGTTTTTAGGCAGTATATGTTTTTTTAAAGCGTTCATCATCTTTGGATAGGTTCCTGATGAAGTTGATCTATAGACAAGAAAAGTCTCGTCTTTGCGTTCGATCTAAGAATGGGTCGGTAAGTCCGATCTCCCAACAATTTACAGGTATTGTTAATATATTAAATTTTGCGATGTTTGAATTGAATCGGATGCTCTGTTCGCAGCACAATTTTGACAATTTTGATGAATAGATGCCCGAAGCAGTCAACCAATTTTCCTCATCTTCGAATTTAATATACACGTGAAAGAAAGGTTAAGATGTTTATATTTTGCATAAGATTTATAAATATTGAGAATGTTGACCATTTATGGGAGAGAGGTCCCGTATTCGGACTAGTTCTAGGCTTGGTAAAGATAATAGTTTTTTATGTTTGATTCAACACGGAAAGTCCGTTGTCATGATTTTATAAAATTTATTTTCAGCAAAATTTTGACCATTTTGTGGGGGAGGTAACAGAAGGAATGGATCGATATTCCCCAACTTCGAACTTGAAACCAGTAAGGAAAGTAGTAAAGTCGGACTGGGCCGACTATATGATACCCTTCACCACTTTGGGTATATTCTACATATGTATCCGAAAAGACGTCGCCTTTCAGAAGGAATTTTGACATGAAATTGAATGAACTTAAATATGTGATTTGTATATCTTACTGGAACCTATGCTAAATTTCATTTCATTTGGGCAAGTTTAGAGTCGTTTGCGCACAGTGGGATAGATTTGTGTAAATCGAATTAAAGCAAACGTGACACATGCTATTCGGTATGCTGCACTGTTTAAAATCTCAATAAATAAGTCGAAATTATATATGGAAGCTATCTGAACCGTTTTGAACCGATTTGACTTAATTTCAAAATGTTGTGTCATATATATATATATATATGGGAGGAGTACGCATCATTCTAGACTTCGTGGAAATCGAATGATTTTCAGAGACTTTGGTGCACCATTTACCTAAAATCGGACGAAACTATGTATGGAAGCTAAATCTAAATCTGAACCGATTTTCACGAAACTTAGCACACTTAATTCTAGACTTAATTCAATACGCTGTGCCACAATTCGAGCAAATCAAATTATTTTCAATCAATCAAATTTACCTAAAATCGGGCGAAACTCTATATGGAAGCTATATCTAAATCTGAACCGATTTTCACGAAACTTAGCACACGTCATTCTAGACTTAATTCAATATGCTATGCCAAAATTCGTGCAGATCAAATGATTTTCAGGGACTTTACCTAAAGTCTGGGGAAACTATATATGGGAGCTATATCTAAAACTGAACAGATTTTCACGAAACTTAGCACACATCATTCTAGACCTAATTCAAATTTCGTGCAAATCGAAAGATATATAGGGATTCTGGTACCCCATTTACCTTAAATCGGACGAAAATATATATGGGAGCTATATCTAAATTTGAACCGATTTTTCCCAATTTCAATAGGGTTCGTCCTTGGGACAAACAAATGAGCTGTGCCAAATTTCATCCAATTCGGATCATAAATGCGACCTGTACTTAACATGGACAGACGGACATAAATCGACTCAGAAAGTGATTCTATGCATATTCTCAAAAGGAACCATGGGTCTATCTCGATTATTTTTGCCTGTTACAAACATATGCACAAAGACATAATACCCTGTACCACAGTGTGGTGAAGGGTATAATAAGTTAAGAAGAAATATTACGAGAGTTATCGAGCGCATCAGCCGCCTAGGCAGATAGACGGGCATTTGTAAATCGACTCCAAATTGTGTGAAATGGATTTGGTCCAAAGAAACATGGGGTCTAAAAACAATATTTCGATGAGGTACATTGCCGTATCATTAGTCGTCATTAACCATAAGGTTGATGGTATATAAATAAAGGTCGATGGGAATGCATTTTCTTGAAATGAATAGATGATTGCCGAAATTATGGCATATTTGGCATATTCTTCACGTACGAAGTTATGTTGTGTCCGTCAAAATTATACTCAAAAAAATTATTTGGTTGCATTCATTTTCCACGTGCAGTCCAAATTTTTTGTTCTCGCCTTCCGATCGATAGAAGGAGAGAATTGTTTCCTTCATCTCATATAATAAATTTTTTACAACATTGTATTTTATATTTTCTTAATATGATTTGATTTTTATGTCAGAAATTCACAAAATATATAACTCTCTCCACATATTCGAAATAAAAGTTTTCCCGAATATACCCGATAGCTATACCACATAGCTAAAGCCTTTATATCTCCCACCTACCATACAATAATCTCTTGTCAGCAGAATATTATTATTCTTAAATCGACAACTGTCCCCGGAGTAAAAAAAAAATCCGGTATTTTCCAAAAATCGATGGCCATCATAACCATCATAATAGCAAGTGCTAATTTGATTACTGCGTCAGAAAATATGATGGTGGACAAACCGCACACCCTACCACCCACATAACCTAAAGGATAAACAAATAGTCACTATCTATATATTAATCTACACACACACACTCACACCTTTGTTTAACCACAACAACAGCAGCAAAAACTCCGAGCACAGAATATGACTCGGATGCTGTGTTTGTGTCAGTTCGTTTGTTTGTTTGTCCGTCCATCCAACGGACTCAATCAATTTTATATTCCTTCAGTCGAATGCCTACCACAATTTGCACTGACACTCATGAGTCCTTTTCTAACCACAACCACATTTCTACACACACACATACAAACACTCGCTCACACACACACAAACATACATATGTACACAAGAGTGTCCGTTCAATCACAATCAAAGAACAGATGAATTGTGGACCCCCCTAAAACACACACACTCACAGAAAACAACAAAATCAAATAAAAATAGTAACAACAACAACAAAAACAGAAGATTTCTCAAATACTAGTGGTTGCTCTTTCTGTTTTTGTTTTTATATCTTTTTTTTTCGGGGATACTCACTTGCCAAATGGAATATTCTTGGCCAACGGCACTGCGGCATAATAGTATTGCTTGTAATCATCCATCCACACTTCAGCGGCACGTCGTGTGTTGCGTGCAAACACATTGCCACTGCCACCGGGGAATGTGTACGGATGACGTTTGCGGAACACATGGCCCACCCGACTGCATGGTATAATTTCCAGGCTGCCACCGCACTGCCACACCCGGAATGAGATTTCCAGATTCTCACCACCCCACACATCCATTTTCATGTCGTATTTGCCCAGTTTATTGAAATAGGCCCGATTGATAACGAACAGACCACCGGCAATCATGGGGGTGCGAATGGCTGTGGTCGGATCATGTTGACGTGCCGTTCGCTCGGCCGGACTCAAATATTCCCATTTGAATATGAGATTCCAATCGAAACCGCCACGTAAATCGGCCGATGCACCAATATATTGAAAATTATCCATGCTGATGACATCAATGACAGGGCAGACGACGCGGGTGGGATCCTCTTTGACACGTTCGAGCAAAGGTTCCAACCACTGTTCGTTGCACTCGACATGGCTGTCGAGGAAGGTGAGAACTTCAGAGACCGCAGCATCGGCACCACGTACCCGTGAGCGCACCAAACCCTCACGTTTGTCATTGCGTATTATGCGTACCTTATCGATTTTCGCCAATTCTTGGCCATCCTCAGCTGTGTATGCAAGCAAATGAAAAGTAAAGAAAGAAGGAGAACAAAAAATCGAAAATATTTTAATGACAAGAATCCTTTACATTAATCGCATGATTTATACTTACGATGATCACTGAAGTCATCCACCAAAATTATTTCACGTATTAAATGTTCCGGACTGCGATTAAGCACACTGTTTGGTTGGAAGTAATGGAAATGGAGGAACAAAAAAAAAAAGAATATGGGGGAAAATGGAGAGCATAAAAACGGTATTACCATTAATTTATTTTGTAGGATTTTAAATGAAATTTATGGCCAAATAAACACCACCACAACCGCTACCACAATGAATGGATTCTTAACGTACTCCACTCAATGCGGTGTGTGTGTGTGTATGCACTGATAGCTCTTGGCCATCTTGCTTACCTCACAATGGTCCGCAACAATGTGGATCTAGCCTCATTGTGGAATGTTATAATCACACTGGTCTCTGGCAAATCCTTGCGATATGATTTGTTACGGCACCTGAAAAATATGACATGAAGCCAGGCCACAGCAAAAAGAAAGAAAAAACCCGAATGGCAATTCATTAATAAATGTGGTCAAATATAGCTAAAGGATATTTTAAAAAAAGGTTACTCTTTTTGCAAAAAAAGGAATAGAACAATCAAGGTCATGTAAAGGATATGACAAAATGTACGCAGCAAAAATTTGTTTAAACATTTATGATTTATAGCTAGGCAAAATAGCCAGTCTTATGAATTGAGAATGGTTCATCATGATGTTGAGGTGATATATTTCATTAGCTTGTTTGGCAATTTGTCAAAAAAAAAAAAAAAAAAAATAGACCCCATTTTTCTTTGCACAAATGCCAACCAAGCTTGGTTGAGTATTGGTTGGTTGTCTCGAAACTATACTAATACATAAGAACCAGCAAGAAATAATTACGGCGATCCGGATCGAAAATATGAGGCCCTATCAGGAGGTTATTTTACTATTATCATTATAATCCTTAATATATTCAAACCAGTGAGCGGAGCCGTATAGTCGGACGGGGCCGACCATATGATACCCTACACAACTTCCACGAAAAACTATCTTTCAGTGGTTCTTTATTCTGAGCTATTATTATTATTTCGCGATATTTGCATCAACCTAACCGCATCCCTTCTAATTACTTGTCCATATTCCCTTCACCATGGGTTGTGTTGCGATGTTCGGCTTATAATTGTAATCTATATATTGAATCGAAAAAAAAAATAAGTTTTCGGTCCACTTCATCCCAAATTATCTGATCATCACCCAAAATTATAGGCGTTGTACTTGACCATAACTGGAACCTCATGGAACATTTCAATGCGATCAGCGCTATATTTCAGCCCTCTAGTGTGGAAATCATTTATTAAAAAATATCTAAATAATATTAATATTTACGTGTAACTACCACAACCCACATATTTACGTGTAACTCCCACATCCGAGTACAATATAATTGGTATCAATTTAAAGGCTAACCACTCCTCTTGGATATACTATCAACTTCTCGGGTCTATGTCCTACCGGAGTAAATATATACACCATAGACTACAGGTTTTGTCATTTTTCACACAAAATTCAGGTTCCATTTGACCCGCTTGCTTATTCTTTGGCCCAATACCCTTCTACATGTAAAAATTCGCGTTGTTAGGGCCATAATTGCGGCCTCTGGAGCGACTAGAAAAATCGACAAAAATTATTTAAAAATTGGTCCATTTCAACCCCTAAATATTAAGCGATCTCTACCAAAAACAATAGGGGTCTTCATTGGCCAGAACCCAACCTAAATGCAAAGTTTCGTGAAAATTGGTCCAGAACTGTGGCCTGTATCGTGTTTACAAATTATAATGGACAGACGGACGGACACACATGTCTAGATCGACTCAGCTAGTCGAGATATGACGATCGGTATACCACTTAAAGGTGGGTCTAGGACCAATATTTCACGGCGTTACAAACTCTTGGGGCTGCACAAAGCTATAATACCCTGACAACATAGTTGTGTAGGGTATAAAAATATAAGATTTATTCGGAATCGAACTCAATCTTTTGTATTATTAGTCGGACAGAGCAATAAATCAGACGAGAATAGATACGGGAGCTATATCTAAATCCGAACCAGACCACTATGATAAATTTCGTGCAAATCAGGGCTTTGGTGCACCATTTACATAAAATCAGATAAAAATATATATAGGAGCCATATTTAAATCTAAATTGATTTTCACGAAACTTAGCGCACATCATTCAAGACTCAATTTAATATACCATGCACAATTTTGTGTAAATCGGATGAAATTTATGGGATTTGGTGCAGCGTTTACCTAAAATCGGACGAAAATATATATTGGAGCTATATAAAAATCTGACCCGATTTTCCCAATTTCAATAAGTTTCGTTGGACGAAATAAATGAGCTGTGCCAAATTTCAAGCAATTCGAATCATAAAAGCGTGCTGTACTTTGTTTACAATTTAACATGGACAGGCAGCCATATTCTCAAAAGGAGCCCTGGGTCCATCCAACGACAGTTGTTCGTGATAGGAATACGTCGAAGCAAATTGTAGCTTATATATGTGAACTGAAAACAAGTCCTTTCTGTTTTCACAGCAACAACTTTAGACCCACTTCTTTTTATTCCGCTCAAAAAGATATATGGGGGCTATGTTACAGTAAATTTATACCGTAGGAAAACTAAATACTAATCTACAGACGGATTGGAAAATTGGGCTTGGACCTTCAGCATACCGAACCAGTAAGGAATGTTCAAGTTCGACGGAGCCGACTATATGATACCACTTTGGGTGCATACAAGAGATCCTAAATTTGGACCTAATTCAGCACGCTGTACAATATGTTTTTGCCAATCGGGCAAAATTTAACTCATTGAGGCCACATTTACATAAAATCGGACGAAAATATATATGGGAGCTATACCCATATCTGAACCGATTTTCACGAAACTTGGAAAACATCATTCTGGACTTAATTCAGTACCCTACGCCAAATTTCGTGCAAATCGAATGATATGTAGGGACATTGGTGCACTATTTAAATTAAGTCGGACGAAAATATATATGGGAGCTATATCTAAATCTTAGCCGATTATGCAACGTTTCGTTAAAGTCGAAATCTTTCGATTGCACGAAATTTGGCACAGCGTACTGAATTATGTTTGGAATGAGGTGTGTTAAGTTTCCTGAAAATCGGATTTAGATATAGCTAGGACCTTCAACATACTGAAAATTGATGGGTCATTTGCCGAACACCCCTGATTTACCAACCACTGGCTTAGGTTGATTTTCGTTTTACAAGAAAGCAAATAAAAAGACCACAGTTGGTGTTTCCGACAGATAAATACCCTCAGCCTATGGTTTGCGTAGGTCTTCGGAATTACACACATGTTTTATTATTTTAATGTACGCTTTTACGAATGTATGTTTTTATCAAAGTGTTTCGGATTTAATGTTGATCAAATCGATTTCAATCAAAATCAATTCGCTACAAATTGAATTTAAAAGGTTACAAAATATTGATCCTTTGTGGGGATTACGGATTGTCTGCAATTTGCAGAAGGAGTGGACCGATATTCCCCATCTTCGAAATTGAACTATGTTTGAAAGAAACATTCTGACAAAGTTTAGATGAAATTGGTTACTCGTTTTAAGAGTTGTCGTGCGCACTAGTCGGCCATACAGACGGACATGCGTAAATCGGGCCGAAATTGTCTGAATCAGCGTCCCTACTTTTATTATATTTCATAAACCTTCTGCTCCACTTATTGCCAAAAAATAAGATCTGTGGCTCATAGTACACTGTGAAAAACCAAAAAAGTAATTACATATATTTTTTCCTTTACGAATGCAAAATTAAAAGCACTGCTGTTGGAAATAGGGAAAGGACCCTTAAATTGACCGGGACCTTTATATGGGAGCTATGACAAAGCATGGCTCTACATGTGAAATGAAAGTTCCTAGTTACAGCAACAATTCTTGGAAAATGCGGTTAGGACCTTGAAAAACCCGAAAATTGAACATTGAAAGACGATGATTCACAATCAAATAGCAATGGCCACAATCAAGGCCGAAGATCACTCTATTCCTAAGAAAGTGAAGTTCTCCAAAAAAAAAACGTCAGTTGTGCCGCGGACCATCTGCTCAGTTTATGAATTCATAATACACGATTGGTATTTGGCATACCGTGAAATAGAGATGAACAAAATGTTGAATAATACAATCATGGGTGACGAAACATCGATTTATGCGTATGAGGCGGAATCAAAGGAGCAAACGACCATGTAGGTCTAAGAAGACGAGCAGAATCCAACGATAGATATTCGCGAAAGAAACGCTTCGAAATATTCGAAGATATTCGAAATGCAAATAAGATAGGACATATCAGTGCGCACCGCGACAATTCCAGTCGTCACATATCGGCCTTTTGTATTTTTAACTGATCAAACGTGCTATATAGAGGTTATCAGTGGCACAGCCCTGACTTGACATCCAATGACTTCCTTTTAATCCGTACATTAAGAAAAAATATGTGGGCGACGATTTTCGTCGTTTTGGATGTGTCTCAATCGGAGAGGCAATTGAGCTTCAACAATTTTTTGATCCTTCCACCACGAGGATGAGGAGATTCAATTAATGGTGAGACGAAAGCTAAATCGATAAATTAAATTCCGAGTACAAACCCATCAAGTTACCTCTTTCACGGATTATCAAATCAACCTTTGGATTCCTTTACCAACCCAAAATTTAAAAATAAACACAAACATTCATTGAATGTGTCACACATTTTCTACTTACATTGGATGTCTTGTATCGGGAATTTCACGATTACTTGGCAATGCATCACTTGCCTCCTGATTGAAACGATTGCGTATATACGGATCTTCTCCGGTACGTAATGCACCACCACGTATATACCCAGCCTCATCGAAATATTCCCAATCACCATTATTACCGACAACACCGCCCGCGGCAACTGCTGCTCCATTTGGCGATGCTGCCAAACCACTCGAAATAATGAGGCGTGATGTCTCCTCTTGTGGTGATAAACCGTTCAGGCCTAAACCACCGATACGTGTATGCAATCCGCCAGGATCATCGCTAGATTCTATGACATTGACATGCAAGCCATTCGTATTCTGTTGTGGTCCATAGTGCAGTGGCTGATTTGCTGTATCCTGCAGCAATGCCTGCTGTTGTGTTTGTTGCCTTAAGGCCGATGCCGAGGGCACTGTCTCATCTTGGTATTGTTGCATAGCCTCACGTAACCTTAAAGCACGATTTTCCACCTGAAATGAAAACAAAGGGAAAAACAGAAATGAAAAAACATCCGTACTACTGTTTAGCATAGACTGTTGAACGAGATAAGATGGAAAGAGGAGGTTGTTTTTTCGTTGCAACTCAAGTCGAAGTGACATAGATTCACATAACTCGACCATAAAAGTGTGAAATTAACATTTGTGCTATAATGACATAATAAGCATTGCATACCAACAGGCAAAACAATACAACAACGAAGCCAACGTGGGTTTTTTAATAGAAACAAGAAAATTATTTTATGTTGGAAAAATTGAAGCTCTTAAGGTATTTATGGAAATCCTATATACAGGTGATGGAATTTATATCTGTGTGTAGGTTGAGCAAGTTATGCACAAATGTGTGACTTATTTTTAAATAGGGTATTATGTCCTTACATACATTCTTGATCAGCGTAAAATTCTATGGCGGTATAGCCATGTCCGTCTGTTCGTCTGTCGTTGTAATCACTCTAGCGTCTAAACACATTGAGATAGATCGCCAAAATTTTGCATAGAGTCGTATTTTGTCTGCAGGCAGGTCAAGTTCGAAGATGGGCTTTATCGCTCCACGTTTAGTCATAGCTCCCATATGAGGGTACCCCGGTATTATGAGGTTTTTGAGCGCGTTTTTCAACTGAATTCGCTGAAATTTGGTACATTGAGTTCTTATTGGGTAGCAAATCTCTCCTCTAAAAATTATAAATATGGGTCCATATTTTCGGATAGCCCCCATATAAGGGTACGCCTAATTTTGCGGTATTTTGGGGGGTTTGATCGTATTTTTCGACTGAATTCGCTGAAATTCGGTACTTTGAGCTCTTATTCGGTAGCAAATGGGGTTCTTATTGGGTACCAAATTTCCTCACTAAAAAATATAAATATAGGTCGACTTTTTCTGGTAGCCCCCATATAAGGGTACCTCCCAATTTCCAGTTTTTGGTGGGTTTTCACCGGATTTTTTCACCAAATTGGCTGTAATTTAGTGATTTGAGTTCTTATTGGGCAGCAAAAATTATAAACATAGGTCAATTTTATCAGGTAGCCCCCATATAAGGGTACCCCCAATTTTCGATATGTTGAGGTTCTTGAGCGCGTTTTTCAACCGAATTCGCTGAAATTTGGTATTTTATAGTCGTATATGGTAACAAATCTCACCACCAACAATTATTAATATTCACCCCTTTTTAGGGGTAGTCCCCATATAACCCCCTTTTTTATATTAAAATAGTTATCTGATCTGGTCCGTGTGTTGCGGTTGGGTAGTCGTTACGGGGAATAGTCAATTTTTACCCTACAAAGACTATTTAGCCATCTGTTGTAAGCATTCCGCCTTCTAAAGGTATTGTGATAAAAAACTCAAACATGACGATAATGAAATATATCGGCAGACATTTCGGCATCTCTTCAATATAGTGAAACCTCCTGAAGGAAATAATTGAGATAAACAATTAAAATATTGGGTTCAATATTGGCATATACCGGACATTAATTAGGCATAGCCCTCATAAAATGATATCCCCAAATATTCACTATTTCCTACACTATAATCAATAGTGTAATCAATATTAGTCCCACTTTTGGCATACCCTCATATTACTTTGTAATCTAAATTACAGTAGTTTGAGGATTTTATACTCTACAATGTGTTATCAGTATCAGTCCACTTTTTGGATCTTACAGATTTTAGGAAAAATCCCCATTAAAAATTGCTGCAGTTTGTATTTGGTGTACATAATGGTTTACATAAATCGGTTTGGAGAATTATCGGTATATGCCCACTTTTTTAATATGTTCCCTATATTTTCATTGCATGTATGGGGGAGGGTATTCACTTGTTCTAATTCATTTTTTTGTTTTCTTCGTCTTCGTTATGTATTGCCTCGTTCCTTTTAAAGTACTACCTCATTAGTACAACCATATACAATGGTAAAGATTCGTTTGGGCTTGTTACTCGTATGAACACTTTTTTGACATATTGTAATTAGCATTTATATGGAAAAAAATTGGAAAATACATATGCGAATTTTGTAACACCAATGTTGAGGTTGGCAATAATGTCCGAAATAAGACATTTGCCATTTATGGCGGTACCGAGTTAGATGAAATTCTTGACTACATCAAAGCTGTAGTCTTTAAGTTTCACAGTTGGTCCGAGTCTGGTGGCATGGCATCAAGGCAAAAGACATCCAGTAGTCTTTCGCCTTGATACCATCAGCTTGGTCTTTTCGCCATTTACTGTCAGAACCACTTTGGCATATTCAAAGTTGTATTTATCGTTCAAAGTTGTATTTATCGGCGTAGGCGAGTAACATGGGTTTTTTTGTGTACATAGTGTCATTTCTGTTCGTTCACCTTGGCAACTCGCATGACATTCATCAGCAGGATGGTAAAAAATCCCACGCGACACAGTCACCTTGTTTGAATCCTCGTTCGGCATTGATGATCTTGTGCGATTTAAAGTTATCCTGCATAGCTGTTTTAAAATTTTAGGAATGCCGAACGCAAAAATGGCTTTAAACACCTCTGAACTAATATGTCTGTCGAATGCGGCTTTAAAGTCGACAAACAGGTGGTATGTGTCGATGTGTTTTTCGTGGGACTTTTCCAGGATTTGGCGCAGAGTGAAAATCTGATCAATAGTGGATTTGCCAGGTCTGCAGCCGCATCTAATAATGCCATTGACCATCTGGATAACACTCTATATCCGATGGGAAGGAGACATATTCCTCTAAAGTTGGCACATATCATCTTGTATCCTTTTTGCACGGGACACAGAATGCTGAGGTTGCATTCATTCGGCTTATAACCCATCGGCACTTGCTGTTTTATTGTTCTTCAGACGATTGTATAAAAAGATTTCCAGGCACATCGGACTTTTCAAATTGAAAGACCATGTATAGAATGTTGTCTTCCACTTGAATTCATGACCTTTGCCTTCTGAGTGAACCATCAGTTGGCTCGCTTTTATATGCCATTTGAGCTGGGGCATCATCATCCATTCTCACAACTTGACATAGCCACCGTAGTCGATGCAGCTCGATACGTTTGACAAAGATCGGATAATTTTTTTGGTTACCCAAGTGTTTTGTTTCATTTATTTATTTATTTTTTGCTACAGTGTATAGGGAGTGGGCAATTACTTGCATCGTGCTTCTATATTATCGGGACAAGGATTGCTTTCGTCAAGCAGGTGCGTTGTGTTTACACCTAGTCGACCATTGCTGCTACATTAGAACGAGTGCGATGCCAAAAAATTTTCCCTTCCGATTTTTGTATTAAAACCTCCCATCGGAATTTTAATTTATTCTTCAATTTATTAAAATAATACATATCAAATTTTTAGTTTTATTAATCCTTTAAATTAAGTAAATGATCTTTGCCACATTGTCCATCTAAGCAGATTATCGGTCTTTTGAAATTACGATAGAGATAGCAATATGTAATATAGATTATAAAAGTGCAGCTGACATTTTCAATTCTATTTAAATTCCCAATAAATGTTCGAGGTATGTTTGTGTGTGTGTGTGTGTGTGAACAAGTGATAAAATTAATTCCACCAACGCCACAGCAAATCCATGCAATTCAAACACCAAAAAGTGAGTAAAAGCCTGCTAGGATGAAAAGTGACGAATGGCACAGTGCTGCTAGATAGTATCACAAAGTTCTGGTTATATTCCCTCAGCCTATCACAAGCAAATGTAATATACACATATCTTGACTTTTGTAGGCCATTTCGGAAATTTAACCAGTAAGGAAAGTAGTAAAGTCGGACGGGGCCGACTATATGATACCCTTCCCCACTTTGGGTATATTCAACAGATGAATCCTAACAGACGTCGCATTTTTAAAGGACCAGTAAAATGAAATTGGAACCATAAACAGGTCATTCTGCAACCGATACTAAATTGTTCATTTGGTCAGATCTTCAGGATTCAGGAAACTTAACACACATCATTCAAGACCTAATTTGTTACGCTGTGCCAAATTTCGTGCTTAAATCGACTCAAAAAGTGATTTTATGCATATTCTCAAACGGAACCATGTGTCTCATTTGTCTCATTTCCTTTTGCCTCTTACAAACATATGCACAAAGACATAATACCCTGTACCAGAAAAAAGAATTTGGTTCAAGAACCTCAAAACCTGGGGGCTACCAGAAAAAATTGACCAATATTTATAATTTATAGTGAAGAGATGTAAGAGATGGTCGAAAAATACGATCTGAACCCCCAAAATACCAAAAATTTGGGGGTACCGTTATATGGGGACTAACAGAAAAACTGGACCTATATTTATAATTTTTAGTGGAGTAATTTGGTACCCAATAAGAACCCAATGTACAACATTTCAAAGAATTCAGTTATAAAACGAGCCCAAGAACCCGAAAATACCGAAAATTGGGGGTACCCTTATCTGGGGGCTTTCCGAAAAAATGGACCTTTATTTATAATGTTTGATAGGGAGATTTGCTACCCAATAAGAACACAAAGTACCAAATTTCAGCGAATTCGGTCGAAAAATGCGATCAAAACCCCCAAAATACCGAAAATTGAGGGTAATCTTATATGGGGGCTATCCGAAAAAATGGACCTTTATTTATAATTTTTGGTAGGGAGATTTCCTACTCAATAAGAACTCAAAGTACCAAATTTCAGCGAATTCAGTTAAAAAACGCGCTCAAGAACCTCAAAATACCGAAAATTTGGGTGTACCCTTAAATGGGGGCTATCCGAAAAAATTTACCTTTATTTATAATTTTTGGTAGGGAGATTTGTTACTCAATAAGAACACAAAGTACTAAATTTCAGCGAATTCGGTCGAAAAATGCGATCAAAACCCCCAAAATACCGAAAATTGGGGGTAATCTTATATGGGGGCTATCCGAAAAAATTGACCTTTATTTATAATTTTTAGTAGAGAGATTTGCTACCCTATAAGAACTCAAAGTACCAAATTTCAGCGAATTCAGTTAAAAAACGCGCTCTAGAACC